CTGCCTCCCATCATGTGTTCGTGCGTTGCATGTGTGAAATGAGCGTGCGCAAGAATTTGTGTTTTTCTGTGGTTTGGATTTTCTGAGTGTGTGTGAATGTTATTTGGCTTGAGCAGATATCTGAAGTGAATCCACTGCTCAAGATCTTTCCGACGAGCCAAGAATCGTCGCGATCGGAGCAATATCAAGAAAGTTACGAACGTTGGAGTTCGTATGCTTTCTGTACTTCGGTTGTGGCCACTATGGGAAGTTGTGGGGTTGACTCAATATGGGGTACAGACTTTTGGGGGTTGGGAATTCGAACCCATCACTGTAGAATGCTGCCATGTGGTTGGGTGAAGCCAAACCAGGTTGGCAAGTGTGGCCAAGTGGGTTGAGGTGGATGGCATGAGTTGGGAAAGTGACAAATGTGAAAGTGGGGTTGCCTATGGGGAAGGGAATTGTGTGGCATGGGGTTTCCTTGGTTGGAGAATCTCTTGGGACCTTCCCTCTCGTCCTCCTCTTCCCTCCTACCTGGTTTAGTGCTACCCTAACTCTCTTGTGTGTAACTTTGTGGAACTTGTGAGAACCATTGTGATTGAGTTAAGCATGTGGCAGCATACCCCCTAGTGCGCCGAAAATCATAACTCAAGATTTACTCCACCATTTGATACGATTCAAATTGGGAAAGATAGCCCTCGTTACAGGCTACAACATACTCGAGTTTGAGACAATTCCAACGGTGCAAGTTTAGCCGACGACGTTTCTTGTGAACTCGACGATTCTGTCCAGAATTTCAAGCCAACGATTTTGAGAAATTTAGGCTCCTAATCTTCATTGACTCCGTCCTTAGTCTCTAACAGCTACGTGAGGGCGGCGGGGCCGCGAAGGTGAGGCGGTGGGGCCGCTACGTGAGGGCGGTGGGGCCGCGACGTGAGGGCGGCGGGGCCGCGACGTAAGGGCGGCGGGGCCGCGACGTAGGGGCGGCGGGGCCGCGTAGGTAAGGGCGGCGGGGCCGCGTAGGTAAGGGCGGCGGGGCCGTGTAGGTAAGGGCGGCGGAGCCGCGAATGTGAGGGCGGCAAGGCCGCGAAGGTGAGGCGACGGGGCCACGACGTGAGGGCGGCGGGGCCGCGACGTAAGGGCGGCGAGGCCGCAACGTGAGGGCGGCGGGGCCGCGACGTGAGGGCGGCGGGGCCGCGACGTAAGGGCGGCGGGGCCGCAACGTGAGGGCGGCGGGGCCGCGACGTGAGGGCGGCAGGGCCGCGACGTGAGGGCGGTGGGGCCGCGACGTGAGGGCGGCGGGGCCGCGACGTAAGGGCGGCGGGGCCGCGTAGGTAAGGGCGGCGGGGCCGCGGAGGTAAGGGCGGCGGGGCCGCGTAGGTAAGGGCGGCGTAAGGGCCGCTAGGGGCGACACGGAGGGTCGCGAAAAAAAAAGGAACGCGCGCCTCGGGGCGCGCTTCGGTGGGCCCTGGGAACAGTCCCTAGGAGGGGACCTGCTCTGATTCCATGTGAAGAATTGAACGTGAATGAATGAACTATGAATGAAGTGGGTACAAGTACTAACCCTAATTGGGTTGTACCCCCTATGGGATACCCCACTATAGCCTACACAAAAGCATAAGCTATAATGTTCTAACAGGGATCTCACAGTATAGCTCTACTGACACCCCCCCACACTGGGAGGCCCAGGACTGAGCACAGTGGCAAGGGCCTACATGTGCATACACCGGGAATCAAACCCGAGACTGCTCTGATACCATGTCAAAATCCTAACCACTAGACCATTGGGATAAAAGGGCTTGTTTCAGTAGCGGGTCAATGCGCCCATAACCCCCCAGGCAAACGCGCCTGTAACCCCCCCTAGGATCGATCGGGGATCTCACAGTGTAGCTCTACTGACATGGACAACACCAGCACTCGAGAGAAACAGAATTAATTTTGCAGCGACACTACTGCGAGGACTAGCAATTGAATGGATAAGCGGAAGCGGTCTATTAAACCAAGGTGAAGCGACGTGGCTGCAGTTCTGAGAAGGATTACTACAACGTTTTGAGCCGATTCATGCAGCGTCAATCGCCCGAGACAAAATACATCGGCATCGACAAAATCCCAGAATTAGCTCGTCCATGTGCATGAAAGGTCTCCCCTCCTCTCCTCTCCTCTCCTCTCCTCTCCTCCACACATCCAGCGAGATGGCCTTCGCGGCCCAAGGTTCCCGCCCCTTAGGCAACGCAGCTATTCTAACCCTAGGCCGACTAGGCCAGTTCCTCCTACACGACTCAGCTACGTTTTCAAGTAAGCTTTCTCTCACTCTCTCTTGCTCCTTACAATTTTCGTTTTCCTTCCTCTACACCTCAAACCAACTCTACACCAGCAGGGCGATCCCTACCACCCCGTCACTTCCCCACAAATCTCAACTGTCAAATACCCCTCCTCACATCGGGCCACCGGAGAGCTGCACCCAACCCTCAGCTCCTCACGACAACGCCCCCTCCAGGTAAGTGCTGTCACCAATCCTGTCACGCTCTCCCGCCACAAAAATTTGCACAATTTCGTGCGCGTTTCCGCCTTGTCATTTCGGCCTCGTCCTCCTTTCCCGCGCGGAGACTCCCTTCCCTCCCTCGCCTTGGTCTTCCCCCCTCCCTGGAAGTTTGTATGTGCCTCTTCGCAGCCCACGCCAACGGATCGTCCTCCCCCTCTCAAGCTGCCCTTCCCTCCAACTCTCATCGATCTCGTTTTCGATAACCCCCATTTCATGATGCTCCTCTTACCTCACCCTGTTTTTCCTCCCAGTTCTTAGGCTAACGCTTTTCCCGCCCACTCTCGGTCACCTCTCGCACAGCTCTTCGCTCTGCTCTCCCTGCCGCACCAAGCCTCGTCAAGCTCCTAAGTTTTAGGCGCCCCCGCTCCATTCAATCTTATCCTTCCGCTGCCACCTCCGGCTCCACCATTAAAATGGCTCGGAAGCTCGGCGGGCTGCCTAGGTCGCCAGTTTCAACTTTCACGCTCTCGCGTTCGGACCTTCGAAAAAGGTCCCTGGTTTCGGGTCGCCGACTAGGCACCCATTCCTATTTCCGTTCCTCAATCTCCTCGCCACTGCGCCTTAACTTAGGGTCAACCCTAAGGCTGTCTCTCTGCCAATCCTGCCTTTCTTGGTACTCTCCCTCATACCCGCCCCCCCCTAAGTCCGCCCCCACGCTTTCCCCATAGTCACCCGACCCCATGGTCGCCTGCCTGTCACCTCCCTTTGCTTCCTCGCTTCCCTCGCACCCTTAATGTCTCTTCAGTCAGGTCGCTCGCTCGCTCTTTATTTAAAGGACCCTTACCCTCTCCACTCTATCATTCCACACCTCGCAATCATCTTCGTTTCTCTCTCTCTCCTTGCAACATGGCCGAGCAGACTTACACTGAACGAAATAATTGTCCTTATGGATTCGATATGTAGAGTAAGTGGCGTCCAATCGTAAAATAAACATGTATTCTATTGTACAAATTGCATACAGGGCTCATGTCATGTGTTACCAGTTTGTGTAGGCGCCCTCTAGCCTGTCAAACGATGGAGCTCTAACGAGTAAGCTTTTCTCTCTCGACACCCCATACAGACAAATCCTTCTAAAATGTCTCGCACATTATTTTGAGCGCAGTTAGATCTAGTTTCGTTAGGTACAGAGGCGATAACGGGCGTAGTCTACGATCTTACCTTAGTGCTATCTCCCCCGCAGCATGAAGCGCCTTAGTGTGGAGAAGCAGAAGCGCATCATGCAGCTAATTCAAGAGGGGCGTAGTTACCACCAAATCGTTAAGGAGATGGGTGTTTCGAAGTCCGCCGTCCATGACGAGCTCCTCCGCCACGTCGGTCCGCAAACGTACGACGAGCTAGTGCCATCACCGGCAAAACTTGGTTGGCCGCGCAAGCTACCCGAGCAAATCGCGCAGATAGTCGTAAGGTCGATAGTTTTATGTGAATCGAAATCCGCCGAGGCAACCGCGGGAATGATTGCTTCTACACATGCCATCAGTGTCACTGGCGTCACTGTTCGAAACACTCTCACGCGGCACAGAGTTAAGGCGACTGAAAAGCCGTCTAAGCCTAGACTATCCGAGAAAAACATCAACGACCGCAGGCAGTGGGCCAAGGACCATCAGCACTGGACGATGGACGACTGGAAACGCGTCATTTGGAGCGATGAAACAAAGGTCTGCCGGTTTAGTAGCGACGGGCGAAGTTGGGCCTGGATTAGACAGGACTGCCCCATGGAGCCGCACCATGTGAAACAGGGCGTCAAGCATGGAGGCGGCTCCATCATGATTTGGGGGTGCATGACATACAACGGCGCGGGTTTTATGTGCAAGATAGAGGGAAAGATGAACGGGGAGTTGTACCGTTCAATCCTGCAAGACGGGCTTCAACAGACTATCGAGCATTACGAGTTGAATCCCGAGGCAGTCGTGTTCCAGCATGACAACGACCCCAAGCATACGTGCAAGCTGGTAAAAATTTACCTTGTAGAGCAGCCGTACTCTGTTCTCCCATGGCCCGCATCTAGTCCGGACCATAACCCTATAGAACACTTATGGGTTTACTTGAAGAAGCAGCTGGTTGCTTACCCCCGCCCACCTGCAGGCATTCTCGAGCTGTGGGACATAACTCAAGTGGAATGGGAGAAAATCCCCGCGGCCTGTTGCAGTGAATTGATCGACATCATGCCCAGGCATGTGCGCGCTGTGCTCAAGGCCAGGGGTCGCTGGACCAAGTATTAGATTCAGCCTGGTTTGCATGCGTGACTGTATTTGTAAGAAACTGTCCATATGACACTGTTTGCCTAATTCCTTTCCTGCAGATTGCTGAGCCGAGTTAATGGCCATGTAGCCTTGTGTTTCCACATACAACCCTCCGGGTTTTAACCTTGTGGCGCCCTTTGATTAAGGCTTAAACACGGTAGCAACTAATGCACATTTTCCATCCATATATCTTGGCATGTGGACAATTATTTCGTTCAGTGTATAACTCGGATATGATCATGTCCCGTGCCAAAGAGGAGGCCCTCGGTGCCTCCGGGAAAGACCTCGCAGTTGACGATCTGCCCAAAGGCATGTTCCACCACCTCGCTGATCCTGCCGACCTCCCGGCCGCGAAGAAACCGTGCATGGATCCTGGCTCCAGGAACGCCCCCAATTCTTCCCCCTCCACCTCCTCCGGCTCGGCTCCAGCGATGCCTGCTTACTCTCCCGCGCCCCTCGCAGCCGCCGCTCTCACTGCTCCCCCAATTGGCCTGGCGCCTACGCAGGCAGCAACTGCTGCAGCAGCTCCCAACACCTCGGCCACCCGCGCAACCGCCTACGCGTCCGTCGGCTCAGCCTCCATCCTGGCTCCGGCGCTGCCCGCCTCGCTCTTCACCTCGCCCACTCCGGGTGCTCCCCCCCCCCAATCTGCGGCGCGCGCGCACGGAGGCCGCCTCCCCGATGCTTTCCCCCCTACGTCGCCGCATGGTAGTCACCGTCCTCCTCCCGGAAGCCGGGCTGGAGTCGCACCGATCTGAAATTCTCGCTGGTGTTAATGCGCAGCTGTGTGGCTTTATGTTTGCTTCTGGCATTATCCATTCCGTCAAGCAGACCGTTGGAGACCCCTACCGTATGGCCCGCCGTGTGTATGGCTGCCTGCTCTTCTCATGGCCGTCGCAGGAAGATGCGGCGGCCTTCCGCAAGCTCTTTCCCCTCACCCTCAAAGTCTCCAACTCCCGCCCCCTTCTGCTCAAGGTGTTCGAGGACAGGTTTGCAGCCTTCACTGCTGCCAAGGCTGCCGGCGCACCCACCCTGTCTATCCGCAACGTCCCTTTGGATTTCGATCCAGAGGACATCCGCGCCTACCTCCTTGGCTCCACCGAACCTGATGGCTCGCACTGGCTGGCGGATTTGACGGACTTTCACCGCGCTTCGGACCCCTACGAGGACACGTATATCACTCACCTTGCAGGACTTCCAGTCGCCACCCCCGATGACCCGGATTTCGAGCGCATCCTATCCCGAAATCCCAATGGAGGAGAACAAACCTCCCATGCTGCTCAACTTTTCCAGCCACGTGTGCGCACTGTGCGCCAACAACCACCGCGCGGCTGACCATGAGGCTTTTGCAGCCCGCCGTCGGCAGCGCCTCACGAACCGGAACGTGATTCCAGTCGCGCAGCTGCAGAAAGCTAATGGTACGCCCCTCGCATATCCCTCCAGATTTTGCTATTCCACCTTTCCTTTGCCTTTCCTCTCTGGCTCCCTTGCTTTCACAATTCTACCATCCATCTCGTCGTCTCTCTCCCCCTGCTATACTTATTCCCCGCTCTCCCAGCGCTCCAGCTCCCCCTCACCCCACTTTACTCCCTTGCTGCCCCACCCCCCGCTTTTCTCACGGCGGCTGGGCGTCCTCGAACACTTACGCCCACCCCCCTTCTTCACTCTGCCCCTGCCTACCCTTTGCCCCGTAGTCAACACACCCTCCCGGATCTCTCACCCCCCCCTGTCTCCTCACCAGCCGATCCCCTGCACAGCCACGAGCTTCCCCCACCCGCTCAACCCCCCCCTACCCCTGCGTCTCCCCACTCTCTACCTGTGCAGCCCCACCCCTTGGGACCCATCCCCCACCTCGCGCCCGGGCTTTGGCCCTTTGCTCCCCATTGTACCCACCCCACCCCTCTTCTCACCCCCCACTCCTGCCCCCCCCCGCCAACAACCTCCCCCACAGGAACCCTCCGCTGCCTCTTCCCTCTCTCCCTGTCTGCACTCTCACCACCCTCCTCCCCTACAGCTCTCAGCTTTCCCTGTCCCCTATATGGCTGGGCCTTCTTCCATCCTTGCTCCCTTCCTAGCTGCCCCCCCCCCTTTTCGAATGCTCTGCCCCATGCAAGCAACATCCTGGGGAACCACGCCGCGCCGACCACTTTCCGCAACGACCCCGGCCTTCTCTACGTTGGGCTGGACGACAAGGTCGAGACCTGGACATGCGCGCTCTGCGATTTCACCTGCGGCGCTGCCCTGGACAGCGCCATGGTCCACATTCAGTCCGCTATGCACACCTCCCGCGTAAAGGCTATGGCCCACCGCCCGGCAGCCAAGGAGGCTTTCGGCCCGTGGAGCGCGCAGAAGCCTTCGGTGGCTACCTTCCTTCGTGGCTGAATCTAGCACCCTTACATGAACACCTTGGTAGAGGATTTCTCTTAGCACTATTTTGGTGGTACCCCTTATTGGTCCCCAATGTAGGGTATGACTTTCTAGGTTACTCGTATGCAAGTGTACCCTTATTAAAACCCAGCGCGTACCAAGGTCGACCTGTGCCCCCCTCTCTAAACCTAATCAATCAGCAGCACAGCTGTCGCACAAAGTTATGCCCCAACTAACATGCCAATATATCCATACCCCCACCTCTCGCTTTAGCCTGCCCACCCTCCTTTGCAAGAGACTAGGCAAGCCCCATACGCCCTGGCCCCACCCCGAGCCCTCAGAGGGTTTAGACTCCTCGGCACACCACCTTCTGCCCGCGCCATACCCTGCCGTGTGGTGCTCTAGTCTCCTCGTCTCATTTTACGCTCCCGGCAGCTTTCCTCTCTATATCGTCATCTAGCACGAGCTCAACCGTTGGAGAACTTCTCCCCCCCATACCCTAGGGAATCTCAACAGTGCGTCGTCTCACATCCACGCCACAATTCAGCAATGGGAGTGTACTCTTCCCAAACACGAATATCAGACTCAACCATCCAAGTTTCCCCTGCATCCTACCTTGCTAATATCCACAGCCCTCTTGCGCCGCTTGTCAGCCTCGCGGTACGGCTCGGGAGCTCTTCGGGCCAAACCAACTCTTACACATCGGTCTTACACCCCAAACTCCAATCCTGCCCGGCCCCGGTTGGCCCCTGCCCCCATGGTATCACGCAATAGCACTATGCAGTATGGCTTTCCAGCTACGCCCCTAGAGCATAAGCCCCACTAGGATATGCAGCTCACCTGCATCACCTATGTCCCAAACACTCCTCGCCGCAACTTCCTTCCCAGGCCGTGGACAGGCACGTCCTCCCGTGCGGTGGCCTTCACTTTGATGCCATGTTAATACACCTCCGAATCATATGCATCAATGTGAACGGAATCAACGAGACTCGCAAAATGGATGAGCTGAAACCTTGACTATCGCGCCTCCCCGCCCCCACTGACCTGATCATTCTCATTGACACACGCCTTATCCTCCGAATCCCCAATCTTGACTTGAAGTTCCGACCTCACGCCTATGTCCACGCCCCGGCATTGCTCTCAACTGACAGCGCTACCGGGAGGCTCACTCTCATCGGAGGTATCTCCATCATCTATTTCAAGAGGGCCATCTCTCTGTCCTCCCCGATCCCCTCTTCAGATGGCAGACTTCTCACGGTACATCTCAACTATCTCCATGAGCAAATCCGCCTTATAGCCATATATGCGCCCACACAATTCTATGAGCGTCGAATCTGGTGGACCACCACACTCATCCCGGCGCTGGAAACCCCCACCCCTGCCTCCTCATCCATGCTCTTCAGGAACTTCAATTCGGTCATCCTTCCCATTGACAAAAACCGCCCACTTAAAGACCACGAATGCCGAGAAGGAGCTTCTTTCGCCAAGCTCATGGAAACTCACACGCTAGTCAATACATTCCGCGCGATCCACCCCACTCCTGCCGACGTCTTCTCCTTCTTTGGCAGGCAACGCCACAACACTGTAACCCCGCCCACATCCTCCCGCCTGGACAGGATTTACATCTCCCGAACCCTCCTCCCCCGGGTCTCCTCTAGCCAGTACCTTCAAACCTGCGGACAATCACTAATCACATATATGCCCCTCTCTGCTCGCTCTGCTTCATCAACCTCACAATCGCTCCCCGTCCCAGGCGACTACGCCAACAGCTACCCATGCGCCGCCGCGCTGCACAAATTATTGACACCGCCCTTAAGGTCTTCCCCTCCTCCCCTTCCCTGGAATCCTGGGACAGATGGAAGTGTGACCTCACCCTAGCCTTCAAAAGCTTCTCCAACCTGGAAAGACGCCGTGTCGACAACGGGATTGTGCATCTGGAGCGCACCATTGGCTCACTACAGCTGCAAGCAGCGTATACACCCTTGGACCAGGATGAGTCCTCCTGCCTAAGCCGAGCTCGGCTACATCTGGCCAGATACGAAGCCTCGAAAGCCTCCGAAATTGCGCTCAAGGTCAAGCTCAAAGTGGAAGGGCATAGAGAAATGGGAGTTTCCTCCCTCCTCTCCGGACTCAACTCACGAATCAAAGGCTCGATCATCAACTCCCTGACCCTCCCTAACGGACAGGTGACCTCGGACCTCTCCACCATGACCAACATGTGTTCCATCTCTTTCCAGAACCTATATAACGAGAGCAACCCTGTTACCCCTAACCCATCCTTATGGCAGCATATCCCCCCCTCTTCCATCCCGAACCCCTCATTCATGCGGCTTAGCGCCCCCTCTGTCCCTAGCCGAAATCGGAAAGGCCATTCTCGTCCTTTCACGAGGAAAACCCCCTGGTCCAGATGGACTCCCTAGAGAGCTCTTCCGACAGTTCTCCCCGCGTTTCGCACCTGCTTTTCACTCCCTGCTCTCCCCATCTCCGCCACTCCCCCGCCTCCCCCCGTCCATGCTGACTGGACGAACCATCCTTATCCCCTAAAAGGGGGATTCTTCTCTGGTGGAAAACCTCCGCAAAGCCTATGACCTCGTTGATAGGCCTTTCCTCCTCCAAGCCATATCAGTCCTAGGGCTCCCCGCCCCCTTTATCCACTGGGTCCGACTAATGCACTCCGACACGCATACATGCATTTCGATTAACAACATGCTCGGTCCCACCTTTCCCGTCCGCACTCGTGTTCGACAAGGCTGCCCTTTGGCCCCATTGCTCTTCGTTTGCGTCATGGAGATCTTCCACCGATACATGTCCCTTTTCCTTCCCGGCTTTGCCCTATCCTCCACTCAGCGCCGCCTCATGGCTGTTATGTGATGCTATCACTTGCATTCACGTCTGTCTGCCTCCCATCACATGTTCGGGCGTTGCATGCGTGGTGTGAGCGTGTGCAAGAATTTGTGTTTGACGTGGTTTGGTTTTTCTGAGTGTGTGTGAATGTTTTTTGGCTTGAGAAGATATGTGAATTGACTCATCTGCTCAAGAGCTTTCCGACGAACCAAGTATCGCTTCAATCGGAGCACGAACAAGAAAGTTACGAACGTTGGAAGTTCGTATGCCTTTGATATTTTGCTGTGGTGACTATGGGAAGTTGTGGGGTTGACTCCATAAGGGTTATAGACTTTTGGGGGTTGGGAAATTCGTCAAAATCACTGTAGATGCTGCCAGGTGGTTGGGAGGAGCCAAACCAGGTTGGCAAGTGTGGCCAAGTTGGGCAAGGTGGATGGCATGGGTTTGAAAGTGACAAAAGTAAAAATGGGGTTCCTATAGGGAAGGGATTTGGTGTGCTTATGGGGTTTCCTTGGTTGGGGACTCCTTGTGGATCTTCCCTCTAGTCCTCCTCTGTCAGAATGAGGAATGGATGTTGCATTGATGTTGGTTGGGGTACATATGACAAACCCTAACTTCTGTACCCCCTAAGACAAACCTCACTACAGGCTACAACATTTGACACACCCCCATAGCCTAAGTGAGGGGTGTCTAGTAAAAACAAAAAAGAGTACGGTCACAAGACCAGTCCAAAAGAAAACAAAGCTCAGGGTGGATCACAACGTCACCACACACTCTGAGCACAAGCAACAGTGGCCACAAGGCCAGTCCAAGAGATCACAAGTATATATAGTAAGTGTACAGACGAAGCAGGCAATAAACTCAAGTCTACGCATGACTAGAACCTGTGTCAACAAGGCCTAACTGCACACAACACCTCTGGTGGTCACAAGGCGGAAGCGCCTTGGTGAAGATGTCTGCAGTGTTGGCCTCGGACTCTACAAACTCGAAGCGAGCCTGTCCACGCCTCTGCAACTCTCGCAGAAGAAAGTACCTGACGTGAATGTGCTTCACTCTGCTCTCCAGTCGCGGCTCACGACAGAGGAGGATCGACGCCTTGTTGTCAGTAAACAAGGTCGGTGCAGAGCTCGGCCGCTCACCAAGGTCGGCGAGCAAGAAGGTCAACCACCGTAACTCCTGTGCCGCCATGGCACCAGCGTAAATCTCAGCCTCAGCTGTAGAGGTCGAGACAGAAGAGGAGCGCGTGGAACGCCACGAAACAGCTCCAGAACCCAGACTGAAACAGTACCCCTGAGTAGACCTGTGAGTCTCAGCGTCGTCAGCGTAAGAGGAGTCACAGTGACCAGTGAGTACGACAGACTGCTGCCCTCCAAGAACTAGCCCCACGCCTGATGTAGTCGCTAGGTACTTCGCCACCCTCACAGCTGCCGTCCAGTGAACAGGACGGTGTCTCCCTGGCGCAACAAAGCGCGCAAGGATGCTGAGAGGGAAGGCGAGGTCCGGGCGAGTACAAGTCATCAGGTACATGAGGCAACCCACAAGCTCTGCGTAGGGACCACTAGGCTCAAACGGCTCGTCAGGAAAGGGACCAGTGAGTCTGTGGTCAACAGCTAGAGGTGTGCGCTGTACGGTGGAGTGCTGAAGCCCGAACCGCTGAAGGACCTGCTGCACTATGTGTGACTGTGAGAGTGTAATGGTGCGAGCGGCTCTGTCCCTGGTGATCTGCAGGCCAAGGTAGTGGCGCAGCTCACCAAGATCAGTGCACGTGTGTCTCTTCTGCAGTTCGGACTTCACGTCTGCCAAAGCAACCCTGTCCGAAGTGGCGAAAACGAGGTCGTCGACGTAGACCAGAACAAAGAACGGTGTGGAGCCACGACGAACGAACAGCGACGGGTCGGCAGAAGACGGCTGGAACCCAAGGTCAGAGAGGGTAGAACGCAGAGTGTCGTGCCACTCACGAGGGGCCTGGCGAAGACCGTAAACAGGTCGCCTCAGCCTCCACTGGGTCCCAAGAGGGAAAGTGCCAGTGAAGGCCGAGGGACGACGCAACCAGACCTCCTCGTGTAGGCTGCCCTGAAGGAAAGCAGTGGAGAAGTCAAGAGAGTGTAACTCGTAGTCTCTCTGTGCTGCTACGTGTAGTAACACCCGAAGAGTGGTCATCTTCGGGGTAG